AGTTTAAAATATAAATTTTAAAAAATAAATAATTTATTTCAATTAATATTTTATTTTTTAATAAATTTTTTTTAACACTAATTATTATTTAAACATTAGATAACAATAATAACTGTTAATTAATTAATTAATAATATATTTTCAATAACTAAAAAAAATTTTTTACTAAATTAATTTAATTAATTTTTGATTTATTTAATTTACTTATTATTATTATAGTGGGCGGCATATACACTGTTATACGTACTAAAGCACAGGTAACCAGCGAGGAACTGGGCGACCAGTACGTACTGGTCGGACCATATAATGAACAGTATGCCCGAACTGAGGTCGAAATAGAGGAACCGCAGGACTATGCCTTTAAGGGTGCTATCGATACGTTGAAAAACTACGGGATTCGGGTAATTATCCGATAGAGAGAGAGAGAGAGAGAACCGGTAGTTTTCTAACCAACCATTTACGGGGGCACTTGTAGGTAATCTATGGCCACTGGCTTATCGAAGGCTATCCGACTGTCCTATTGTTTGATATAGGGTCCGCTTCATGGAAACTGGATGAATGGAAACACGATTTCTGGAACGTTACTAATATCGGTATATATATCCTAACCCAACCCCTACCCTCCCATCTAACTGTCTATCTATCTATCTATCAATCAATCAAAACAGGTATACCCCAATTGGACCGGGAGTGTAACGATACCCTAATATTTGGTTACGCCTTCACCTGGTTTTTGGAAGAGTTTTACAAACGTATTGAAGAAGAGAGAGGTCGACCGCAAATTGTTGTCCAATTTCACGAATGGCTGGCCGGTGTTGGCCTGATATTGTGCCGTACCCGGCATCTGGATGTGGCCACTGTTTTTACGACTCACGCAACGCTGTTGGGCCGGCATTTGTGTGCCGGTAATGTCGATTTCTATAACAATCTCGATAAGGTATGTGTCGAGGGGGTGTAGACCCCCCTCCCATTCCCCGGGGATGGGGAGGGAGGGATAGAGTAGATTGTAGGGATACTTGAGCTTAAACACACACACTGTCATAAAGATATTTTTTTATATAAAAATAGTTATTAATTAATTAATTTTTGTTTACTATAACTATTACTACAGTAAACTGTATATCAATAGTATAACCCATACCTACCTTATAGAGTCCTATCCTCTCACCAAAAAATTATTATTATTTATTTAATTAAATTAAATTAAATTAAATTAAATTAATTAATTTTACTTAACCTTTGACCCACACACACTTTCATAAAGATATTTTTAAAAAATAGTTATTAATTAAATTACCGATAAATTATAATTTTTTTTACTATACCTACTACTACTACTACAGTACTACTACAGTATATATCAATTAGTATAACCCATACCTACCTCCTAGTTCTCTCACAAAAAATTATTAATTAATTAATTAAAATTACTTAACCTTTGACCCACACAAACACACACACACACACACTATCATAAAGATATTTAAAAAATATAATTAAATTAATATAATTACCGATAAATTATAATTTTGTGTTTTGTTTACTATAACTATTACTACTGTATCTATCAATTAGTATAACCCATACCTACCTTCTAGTCCTCTCACAAAAAAAAATTATTAATTAATTAATATTATTTTAAACATCCAGTTATATATCAAATAGTATAACCTATACCTACCTTATAGAGTCCTCTCCTCTCACCAAAAAAAAAAATAAAATAATTATTATTATTTATAATTTAATTAAATTAATTAATTAATTAATTATTATTACTAATTTTCGAAACATACAGTTCCAATTGGACAAGGAGGCCGGTGATCGGCAAATCTATCACAGATACTGTATGGAAAGGGCTGCGGCCAATGCTGCCCATGTATTCACTACCGTTTCGGACATAACTGGCCTCGAATCGGAGCACCTGCTGAAACGTAAACCCGATATAATTACACCGAACGGGTTGAATGTTAAAAAATTTTCGGCCCTACATGAATTTCAAAATCTACATGCCCGATCCAAAGAGAAACTACACCAATTTATCCGGGGTCATTTCTATGGTCATTATGATTTTGATCTGGATAAGACATTGTATTTTTTTATAGCCGGACGCTATGAGTTCAGTAATAAAGGTGCCGACTTGTTCATCGAATCCCTGGCCCGATTGAACCATTATCTTAAGGTAATTGAGTGGTTGGGTGCTGGGGGTGGGGGATCTATAATATACCTACCTGATTGATTGATTGAAGTACTGGTTTCCATTGCAGGAGGGTATGGGTGGGTTAGTGTAGGTGATGGTAGATATATAATATACCTAATTGAATGATTGATTAAGTACTGGTTCCCATTGCGGGACAGTATGGGTGGGTTAGTGGGGGTGGGTTAGTGGGGGTGATGGTAGATATATAATATACCTACCTGATTGATTGATTGAAGTACTGGTTTCCATTGCAGGAGGGTATGGGTGGGTTAGTGTAGGTGATGGTAGATATATAATATACCTAATTGATTGATTGATTGATTAAGTACTGGTTTCCATTGCGGGAGGGTATGGGTATGGGTGGGTGTATGTGATGGTAGATATATAATATACCCGTTTGATTGGTTAAGTACTGGTTTCCATTGCGGGAGGGTATGAGTAGGATGTGGGGGTTAGTGGAGGTGATGGTAGATATATATGATACTTATGTTTCACACATACACACACACACACACACACACACACTATCCAACCCATACCTACGGTAACTGTATGTTAAAACTCTGGGAAACTCTAGAATCAATTGAATTGATTCTCAAAATTTTTTAAAAATTTTTCCAATAATTAATTACCGGTAATTGTTTTTTATTATTTTCATATCCCTAACCACTCACACCTACCTACTGGTTATGGTATGGTATAGTCAACCGGCAGCGATATGACTGTCGTAGCCTTCCTTATATTTCCGGCCAAAACCAACAATTTCAATGTCGACTCATTGCGCGGTCAGGCCATTGCCAAACAGCTCCGGGATACCATCGATGATGTCAAAAATAATATTGGCAAAAAAATGTTTGAACAATGTTTAAGGTATGTACTTCAACAACAAAAAACACCCGGTGCCCGGTGGTATATCACCCGCATTTTTCTAACCCATCTATCTATCAATTTTAGTGGACATATACCCGAATCGGCCGGTCTATTGGATCCGGACGATATAGTCAAACTGAAACGTTGTATATACGCTGCCCAACGTACAGCCCTACCCCCAGTGATCACACACAATATGATTGACGACTCCAGCGACCCGATACTGGCCTCAATACGCCGGTGTCATCTATTCAACAATCGTGAAGATCGGGTAAAAGTTATATTTCATCCCGAGTTTCTGTCCTCGACATCGCCGCTCATACCTATCGATTACGACGATTTTGTCCGCGGCTGTCATTTGGGTATATTTCCATCGTATTACGAACCATGGGGTTATACCCCAGCCGAATGTACCGTAATGGGTATACCATCGTTGACCTCTAACCTGTCCGGGTTCGGGTGTTTCATACAGGAACACGTTGCCGACCCGATGAGCTACGGTATCTATATTGTCGATCGCCGATATAAGGTATGTATGTATGTGTGTGTGTGTGTGGTGTTCCCACTAATATATCCCTCCCTCTCCCCCACTAATATACCCCTCCCTCTCCCCCCACTAATATATCCCTCCCTCTCCTCCACTAATATACCCCTCCCTCTCCCCCACTAATATATCCCTCCTTCTCCCCCACTAATATACCCCTCCCTCTCCCCCACTAATATATCCCTCCCTCTCCCCCACTAATATATCCCTCCCTCTCCTCCACTAATATACCCCTCCCTCTCACCCACTAATATATCACTCCCTATCCCCCGATAGCCGATACATAGGGTATTACATATATATATATGTAACACATGTATAATGTGTTTGTTAGTATATATATAACTTTAGTTTTAATTAAAAAACTTATTATTATTATTATTATTAAAGTATTAATACATATATAGATTACGGTAGAATAGTTTAGACCCAAAAAAACTACAATTTTTTTTAATTATTTATTTAAGTAAATATATATATATAATTAAAAAACAATAATATTATTATTATTATTACAGTATTAACACATATACAGTAGATTACAGTATAATAGTTAAGATAAAATTAAATTTATAAATAAAAAAAAAATTTTTTTGTTTATAAATTATTAATAATTTTTTTTCTTTAACATACCATTCCTTTAACCCCTATAAAACAAGAGTGCCGAGGAAAGCATACAACAGTTGGCCCAATACATGTACGACTTTGCCTGCCTGTCCCGTCGCCAGCGTATTATACAACGTAATCGTACGGAACGGCTAAGCGATTTGCTTGACTGGAAAAATCTAGGAATTGTATGTATATAACTAACGTACCTGTACCTAAATAACTACCTGTGCCTTAACATACTCTCTCACTCTGTGTTTAGTACTATCGTAAGGCCCGACAGTTGGCATTGCATAGACTACGACCGGAAATAGCGGCCGACGAGTACGAGGAGACGGTTCGGGTACGCTATCCGCGACCGTTTAGCGAACCGCCGACACCGTCGACCAGTAGGGGTGCATCGCCTACCAGTTCGCGGGCGACCAGCGATGATGAGGGGGAGGACGAGGACGAGGACGGGTCGGTCGCTGGCGATGGCGATGACGATGAGGCTAACGATTCGCACGACTCGGACACTGAACGCCAGATATTGACTAATCCCGAGACTGAGTGACCAGTAATGATGTTAACGGGGGAGTAGTAGTAGTAGTAGTAGTGATCGGGACAGTCGTTGAATTGTCATGACATACATACACACACACCCACACACACCACTACCTAACTGTCCTCTCTATCCCACTATCTATCTATCTCTCTATCAATTAGTCTATTATTATTAGTTGAATTAATTAATTGAATTTTTGAAATTATTTGTCACAAAATTATAATAATAATAATTATTATTATTATTATTATTATATTTTTTTTAAATATACACACAATTTTTTGTTTAGGGGTTTACTATATTTAAAAAAAATTGTTTATACAATTACCGTAATATTTTGTTGGGGTTTATTTTAATTAGTGATATTACATATCCTATTATTATTATTATTAATACAATTTTTTTTTAATTAATACAATTAGTAATTATTGTAAGTTATATCTCTATATATATATATATATATATATTTATATAATTTTCTTTGTTTGTTTGTTTTTATGTTTTTAGCCAACAATTGGTATTTTAACTATTGTTTTTTAGAAACTATTGTTTATTTACTTAATATAGTTTATATATATATATATAGTTTATTAAATATTTTTTTGAAAGAATTTATAAATTGCTAACATTAGGAATTTAGTATTAGTATTATTAGTAATTGAATTATAATTAATGTTTTAAAAAAATTAAATGTATATTTTTTGTTGTCTGAGATTATTTATATACATATTAAATATGTTATTAAAAAATATCATCTAAAGGTCTAATAGGGGGAGAAAAAAAAATCTCATTAATTATTGTAAAATATTTATTTTTGAAAAAATTATTATTAATATAATTTAGCTTTTAATTTTAAAAAAAATAATGTTATTATTTTAATCAAATTGTTTACTAATATTTAGATATATCTATTTAAAAAACATTTATACCTACATGTGCCATATATTTAATAATAAATACTATATAATTTTAATTGTTTTATAAATTAATTGAACTAATTGTGATTTTTATATATATAAAAAATGCATTTATCAATAATAATATAAAATTAAACGAATTAAATAAATTAAATTTTCAAATTTAGTTTTTATTTTAATTATTTTAGTTATCCATTAATAATAATAATAACTATTATTTAAATATATATATATATATATATATTTAAAAAAAACTTAATTGCATTTATTTGAAAATATTTAAAAAAAAATTATTTACTTATAATATATACTGAAATTATTTTTTTTCTTCAAAAATCTAATTATAGATTAAAAACATATAAATATTATTATTTTTACAATTATTATTATTATTGTATTATTTTATTATAGCAAAATTAATATCAATAATAGATAAGTTAATTTATAAAATTTATAAATCTAATCAATGTAAAAAAAATTAAACGTGTTAAATAATTTTTTAAAAAACTAAATATATATTTATAGTAAAGTAAAATTTATATATTATACAAACAAAAATATAGATTTATTAGATTCCCTCACATAGAATTATTTTTGCTTTATAAATACAATATATAATATTTTTTAAAATAAATTAAATTGTTATATTAAGTAATTTTTATTTAAAATGATAAAATATTAAATGCTGTTAAATGAATATAAATACTGTATATAATAAATAATTATTAGTTGAAATTATTACAACTAATAAACATAATATTATTTTACATTTATCTATCTAAATATAAAATATCTAAATTTTCTAAATCTCAAAATCAAAAATCTATCTAAATTTAATTAGTTAATTAATTAATTAAATTAGATTTTTAAAAGTTAATTTTTTAAAAAAATAATCAAAACAATAAATTGTCTAGCTTAAAATAAAAATAATTATGGTTGTATTATTTATTATGACACAATAATGATATAAAATAATAATAATAATTAACTAATTAAATAATAATAATAAGATTATTTTTTAGATCATAATTATATTTAATTTTTGAACAGTAATAATAATATAGTATTTATTATTAATATATAGTAAATATACAGTAATTATTGTAAATAAAAACCATATAAACTAATTAGAAAATAAATATTTAACATATTTTTTTTTAGTTATTTTTTTGTCTAAATTATTTTTTAATAATTATTATTTTATAATACAGTATATTTATTGATAACTTTTAATGTATATAAAATTTATCAAATAGTTATTTTTTTAATTATTTTTATTAAATTTTCATTAATTATAAATTTTTATTAGTTTCAATAATAATGAAAATCCTATTAATATTATTTGAAAATTAATAACTAGTAATAATTAGTAGAATAAGTAGTAATAGTATTAAAAAATATTAAGGCTATGATTAATATATTTAGCAAAATGCATAAAATTGATATATTATTATTAAAAGTTTTATATAAATTTTAATTATTATTAATATAAAATTAGATTTTTAATAATAATAATAATATTTTTCAATTTAAAAAAAAACTAAACAAAATTAATTAACTTAAAAATATTGATAATAAATCATTGGAATAAATAAAAACTTGAATAATAATAATAATAATAAACAAATATAATTCAAATATAATTAATCAAATTTATATATAATGTTTTTTTATTAATTATTAATAAAAGTTAAAAAAAATATTAATTATTAGTTATTGTTATAATAATTGTTTTATTAGCAAAAAAAATAATATATCGATACATTATATCCTATAAAATGTTAATCACTTTCACAAATTGTTTGCTATCTTTATGTATTTGATACTAAAGTTTTCAAAATCTATGTAAAAATATTATTCAAATAAATTTTAAATATTGTTTTTTTTATAATATAAATATATAATATTATTTGTTTTTTAATATAAAGTAGTAGAATAATAATAATATATATAAATTTTCAATTAAACAAAATTCAAGTATAAATTAAATTTAGATATTATTTATCTGTTTTAACATTGATTTTTTTTAATAATAATAATAATAAATATTTTTTTGACTAATTATTTAACTAAAATTATATTTATTAGTATTATATATAAAAGTGATTTTATGTTTTTTTTGTAAACTATTACTTAAATTATTTTGATTTTAAATAATTATTATAATTTATTATTAGTACTTAAAATTATTATTAGTTTAGATTAAATTAAAAAAAATAATTTTATTTTATTTATAATTGTTAATTAAATAATTTAATGTAATTTAAATTTTTATATATATTACTAATTGGATTTCTATAAATATTATTTTTAAATGTTAGTAAAAGTATCATTATTATTATTATTATTTATAATCAAATAAAAATATGTAATAATAGTTAATTTAATTATATAAAATGTACATACTGTTATACATTGTTTTAACATTGATTTTTTATTTTTAAAAATAATAATAATAATAATTATATGAATATTTTTTGACTAATTATTTAACTACAAAACGAAAAAAACTTATACTATTAAAATTTTTTATATATAATAATAATAATAATAATAATAATAATAAGACATAAGTGATAACATATGAAACTTTAATTTAAATTAAAAACAATTAATAGTCAACTAATCCAATGTTGAATCCCATTGAATCCCGTATACGGGAAACATGTTTCGGTTTAATTAGTGTTGTGTTGGTTTCAATCACTCTATTGTTGATGTCCTCCCAGCAAATGGTTGTCCCGTTTACAGTGTGTGTGTGTGTGTGTGTGTATGAGTGCCGGCGCCCCATGTATTAGCCAATCAGTTCAATAATCACCCGATAATAACAACTTTGTATTACAACAACAATTAAACGGTAAGTACATGTAATTTATGTTTAATTTTTTTAATTAATTTTATTTATACTGAAATTATAATATAATATTTATTAATTGAATATAATTTTTGAAAAATTATTATTATTAGTAGTAGTAGTAATATCTGTATTATTATAATTATATTTTATATTAATTGTTATTTAAGCTTAATTATAATTTTTTTAATATTTATTTATTAATGTTTTTATATTATCTGATTTTAATTTTTAATAAAACTATTTAATACAACTAACTAAACCAAAACTATATGTATAGTTAATATATTTAAAATATATATATATATTTTGGTTTATAAAAACCGTAAATTTTTTTGGATAATTAGTTTATTTATTAATTTATTTAATAAATAAGAATTTTTTAAAATTATCTTAGAATAATATATGAATTTTTTTTATTAAAAAAATGTTTAAAAGTTAAAATAGTAGTTTCATAATTTACTGTAAAAAAATTAATCTTTAATAATTAATAATGTATTTTATTTAGTATTAATTAGTTTACAATATTTATAATAAAATATAAAAACTGTAAATGTTGAATTAAATATTATTTACAAATTCAAATTGAATTTTTTATTTTATTTTAGTTAGTATTAGTTTATTTAGCCCAATATTTTTATTTATTTATTACATTTACATTGTATTACTGACTAGTATTAAACAATTTTTTTTTAAAAATTTAAACCAATTAAATATTTAACAAAAAAAACTTTAAATAACAATATATTTGTTAAATATTTGTTATTTATTTATTAGTAACTTATTAATTATAGATTTTAAATAAATAACATAAAATATTCAAGTTTGTGAATAAACTTGAATATTACTTAAAATGAATTTTCAAATTTAAAATTTTTCAAATTATATTTTCAAATTTAATTTATTTAAATATTTAATAAAAGCACTATTTATTTTTTTTTTAAAAATAAAACACTCATAATATCTATTCATTATAACTAAAAATTTCGATGAATAATTATGCCTAACATATTATAATAATTTTAATTTAATAAATTATTTTATTTATTATTTAATCAATTACAGTTTGATGCTAATAAATTACTAAATATTGATTTTTTAAGTTATCAGTTTAATAAAAAAAATATATAATTAAATAAATGCATGTGTATAATTGTTAAATGCAATTATACAATTTATTAAACTTATACAATAATTAATAAATATATTATTTAATTAAATAATTTTTATAATTTATATATATTTTTAAAAAAAAATTATAATTACCTTATATCGTTGCTTGCTAATTTGATTTATATTATATTATTTGATTTAGATTATAATTTAATTAATAACTAATTTACAGTTTTATTAGTTATATATATATATATTAATATAAAGTAATTGTATTTTTTTTAAAAAAAAATTATGAAAAATAACATATACATTGAAAATGTTATTAATATTGAATAAATTTTAATGCATTTTCAAT